GCGCAACTGTCATGACTGATATGCTACCCTCACCCGCCGAGCAATGCTTGTTTTGAAGACATGTGACCATCTTCGAATAATTAGGTGCTAGGTAGGAAGAACCACCCCCGAGAAATTCATGTGTGATACATCAAGTGACGACAGAAGCATCACCACGAGAGGGGATCACCCATGACTCATGAACTTCCCCAACCAACTCTTCCGAGAGTCAATGGTCAAAGTAGTAAAAAGCATCCAGAATAAAGAGTATTTCAAAAAGGTATCACCAGTGAAAGCAAGGAGGGTGCAACTCCAAGATTCTGGGAGATACTGTGTGTATTTCCAAGACCACGAACACAACAGGTATGAGTGCTGACACCTTCATAATCTGATTGAGGAATTGATCAAAACCGAAAAGCTAAAAAATGTTGCGGCGCCTAAAGCGATCACCCAGCGGCAAGGAAAAACCTCAACAGAGGGAGCTTTCAATGAACTCAGTCGAGTTCAAGCCATACACATTGCAAGCATCAAGCCTGCCATCTTCGAGGGAGAATGAAATGAGGCCGCCCGTCAAGTAAGGCTTCACTTGGGAGAATCATGCACGACATACTTGCTTCAATAATGCGCCACACAACATCCATCAACCTGCTTCAATGATGAGGATCAATGCCCTAAGAGAAATCCTTACAAAGATGTCATCATCACTCAGCTCTCTGCAACATCTAGGCCACTCTACGATTTTTTAGGGGAATGGAAATAAAACATAGGTACGCTGCCCTTATCTAACATCTGGGGATAAGGCGAAAGTCAATTTACAATTGTAGTGGATTTCATCATCATCAATTCACTAGCAACCTATAATGTCAACTCCTTTTGAGTCGTGATGTTTACTTACCACTCTGATTGGCTCGACGAATCATATTTGTCGTATTGTGTGCAGGTCGAACTCAAATTTATCTGATCGTCGATAAATTTGTCCAGATGATCACGGTGATGAAACGAACCGCACAAGTGTGTTCAGAATGTCGATTTTACCTCGAAAAAACGCTTATATTATTATTGTTTCGTGCACGGACAAATGACACATAAATCGAACCATATAACTTAAAATTTAAATTTTTTTCTTAAAAAAAAAAAAGATAACTAAAAAATCTGTAACGACTCATACGGCCGATCCCCTCTCCAACGGTCTTCACGACTTGAGAAGCCCTTGCCGACCTTCTTCTTCTGCTCGAAGTCCTCCTCCTTCCTCGGTCCACCGCCGGACAGTCTCACCGGCACTGCCAGCAAGATTCACTGCCTCTCCATCTCGTGAGAGAGCTGGCTAAGGAGGAAGAAGGGGCTCTGACTTTTGCTTGTTTCCTTGGTTTTGTCGTTTGCTTGCTTAATTTCTTGCTCAACCTTTTTGCTTTCTTGTTGTTCCACTCGATTTTCTTGCTGATTTGGTCGATTTTACTACTGATTGCTCGGTATTCTTGCTGGTTGCCCGATATTCTTGTTCGTTTGTCTAATAGTTTTGCTGGTTTGCTTGAAGTACTTGTTGGCTGCTCTGTTTTTTTTCTTGGATGCCCGGTTTTCTTGCTGGATCTCGTGGTTTTCCTGCTTGTTGCTTGGCTTTCTCGCTTGTTTGCCCTATTTGTCGCTGGTTTGCTTGATACTATGCTGAGTTGTTAGATATTCTTATCTGTTGTTGTCCGACCTTCTTTTGCTTTGAAGGCTATTGCTTTTGTTGTTGCGGTGAGATCTATAGATATAAAACAAGAGAACGGTCGATGAAGCGATAAATACAACGAAAAATTTACACTAGAAAACACTAACACCACAGCTGAACACACAGATTTACGTGGTTGGGCAAATTGCCTACGTTCACGGAATTGCAGAGGATTTTACTATTTGAGGAATTTACACCAGTCGATCACCTCGACTTACAAGAGGAATCCCTCACTCTCACTTCGTTGCTCTCTTTTCTTCTATCTTTGTTCTTCTTTCTCTACACCAAATAAACTCTACACCGAGATACATCGAAGAAAAAAAAATTACAAGAGAAATAAACTCAATTTCTCTTCTGCCACAAGCCACCAAGAAGAAGTCAATGGAGAACAATATTCTTCTTCTTTCACCGCAAGGAACTACTGCTTGCAACTTCTTTCCTCTATCCCGAGGAAACCTTCCTCTATCGCGGGGAAAACTGAAGAAGAACACCGTGACTTCTTAAAACTAAATGAGAGTCGTATCACAATACATTTTATCTCGAACAAGAAAGAACGAAGGGATGCTTCGCTTCGCGTCAGAGAAAGGCGGGAACTGTTGGCACGCGACTGAAGAGGCGGGAGGCGTGACTCTTCACGAACTGGTCGCGAACTTCGCGAAATAGAGGAGGCGGGAGCTGGAGATCGATCTCCAACGCAACAATCTTCCACTTGGAGACCAATACACATGCTACAATGTCATCTCCTGAACTGTCATCCACTAGCGCATTGCATTTTTCTTCAAATATGAGTCCTCCACCGTGAATTATTTACCTCTGCAACTCAAAGCCTTTGCTTCATGTTCATATTTACTCAAATTTTGCGTTGAATTAACTTCATCTAGAGTTGTTTTCATACAAAAACATGAATTGCTTCCCCAATCAGAGCAGAAAGGAGCCATTTTTTTCTTATTGGAGAGCGTCATGGATAATGGAGCAAAAGAGACCGATCTTAAGATCAGATGTCTTCAGTCCACCATTCTCTGGGAGCAGAAGAGATCAAATATGCAAGATTTCGCTCCCAAAAACTAGGTTTCACTCAAAAAATTTGAATAAATTTAAGAAAATTTCAACTAAGAGGCAAATCTGAGGATAAATATGAAATATTAGAGAGAAGATACTGAAAGATAGCACTCGGTAGTCGAACAAGCAACCAACCAAGCAAGAATACCGAGCAATCGAGGCAATGCTGACTATCCGAGGAAAAATAGAAGTAAAGATTAGAAAACGCACACATATGGCAAACCCTAAGCCCTTTTGCGATTTTTAGAGGAGAAGGTGAAGACTCAGAAGAGGGAGGGCGGCCGAACTCAAAAAATTTCGAGAGGGGAAGGGGAGGCCGGTAGGTTTAGGTTTATTTTTGTTATATATAGTATATTAAATTAGCAATATAACTTGTTTTTAGTTTTTCATTTATGTGGTTCACTGTCATTTATTTTAAAAGTAATTCATTAATTAAAAAGAAGTGGGTCATGTCTCTTCCCAATAGACACCGCATCATTTCGCTTTAATCAATTAATTTAATTATCTTAAATGAATAGTCATGTCTTTTTCCCAAAAGTCATCGTATTCTTTCGCTTTAATTAATTAGTTCAATTATCCTAAATGAAGAGTCATGTCTTTTCCCAAAAATCATCGTATTCTTTCGTTTTAATTAATTAATTAAATTATCATTAATCCTATTGGTCAATAATCATCATGATGGATGATGATTAATAACGGATAAATATTTTTTTCCCAAAAATCATCGTATTCTTTCGCTTTAATTAGTTATTGAGATATTATTGTTTATTTGATGTTTATATTATGTTTTAATTTGTTAGTCACCAAAGTGGCCAAATTAGTATGTTGAATAGACGTCAAATTAAATTAATTCAATTACTCATAGGAAATTCAATCACTCATAGGTATGTGATGTTTATTATGAAATAATTTTGTATTTAATTATGAGTATATTGAAATTCATTGATTATAAAATATTTGTGGATCACCCAAATGTTGATTATTTGTTTTATATTTTTTTGAATATGATTGTGACATATTTATATACTTGGTTAGATATGTTTATATATCCAAAGATAATATGCATGTCTAATTTAAGTATAAACAAATGACAATTATATGAAACTAACAATTCAAGTATCAATTATGTTTGTTATTGTATAATGTTATACCACCCAAAGGAGATTTTCAATACACTTCTAAAGTTTTAATTTAATATGATTGGACATGAATATCTATTTAAGTTTAATGTTCAAAGTGTTGATGTATGAGCATGTTTTATTTATTTGCAGTATCTACTCATGTTTCTCTTCATTTGCAAACTACATCTGCTCAGAAATTCAATGGGCTTAATTTCTCTGAATGGCGTGAGCAAGTCCAGTTTCACCTTGGTGTTTTGGATCTTGATTTAGCACTCACAACTAAGAAGCCCCCTGCTCCTACTAATTTGAGCAGTGATGAGCAAAAATCTTTCTATAAAACTTGAGAGAAATCAAACAAATTAAGCATAATGTTTCTATGATTGACTATAGCAAACAACATAAAGTGTATATTTTCTAACACTAAAAATGCTAAGGAATTCATGAAATTTTCTGAGGAATGTTCTTAGTTTGACTACTGATAAATCTCTTGATAGAAAATTATTAAGTATGTTAATTAACATGAAATTTGATGGTTCTCGTACTATGCATGAGCATGTCGTTGAAATGACGAACATAGAAGCAAGACTTAGGACTCTGGGAATGGAAGTGAATGAAAATTTTCTTATGCAGTTTATCATTAACTCCTTGCCTCCTGAGTATGGTTCATTTCACATGAATTATAGTATTATGAAAAATAAGTGGACTATGAATGAACTGTAATGTATGTTCATTCAAGAGGAAGCAGGACCTATGAAAGGAGGAAATCACTTCATTAATCTCATGGGTCATCAAAGAAGAGCTGTAAAGAAATATGGAAAGAAAAATGGAAAGCGCAAGCAAGGACCACTAAAGAGTAATGTATCGTATGCTCCAATCTACAAAGGGGAACATAAAGAAATTAAGTGTCATTTTTGTAGAAAGGCTAGACACTATCAAAATGAGGTCAAAAGTGCAAAGACTAATTCGAAAAGAAAGGTAAATCTTGTACTTATGTATGTTTTGAATCAAATTTGGCAGAAGTTCCTTATATACTTGTACCACTCATGTTTCTAATACGATGCAGAGATTCCTTACAACCCAAACCATAAACCAAAATGAAAAGTTTATTTTCATGGGAAACCGAGTCAAAGCTCCAGTTGAAGCCATTGAAACCTATCGATTGATTTTAGATATTGGGCATCATTTAGACCTTTTTCAAACACTTTTTTTCCTTCTATTTCTCATAATTTGATTTCATTTTATAAATTTGATTATGTTGAATACTCTTTTAAATTTGGGAAGAGATGTTTCAGTTTATTTAAAAACAATCATCTTAAAAGTTGGGTGGTATAAGCGTTACTAAACACGGTTTTATGAATGAAAATTCAGCTTATTTGTGACATAAACGTTTGGGTCATATATCCAAAGAAAGAATAAAAAGATTAATAAAGAATGAAATCCTTAATGATTTGGATTTCACAGATCTTGACATTTGTGTGGATTGCATTAAGGGAAAACATACAAAACACACACACTTAAGAAAGTTGCCACAAGAAGCACACAGCTCCTTGAAATTATACGCACACAAATGTTTGTGGACCTTTTGATGTTTTATCTTTTGGTGGAAAAAAAAAATTTATCACCTTTATCGATGGCTTTTCACTTTATGGGTATGTCTACTTATTGGATGAAAAATCTTAATCACTATATGTCGTAAAGGTGTTTATATCTGAGATTGAGAGATAATTAGACAGAAAAATGCAAATTATCAAGTCTGATAGAGGTTGTAAATATTATGGAAGGTACAATGAATCTGGGTCCATTTGCTAAATTTCTTCAAACTAATGGCATATGTGCTCAGTATACTATACCAAGAACACCATCACAAAATGGTGTTGCAGAAAGGCGAAACCGTACTCTGATGGAAATGGTTAGGAGTATGATTAACAATTCTTCTTTACCCTTATCATTGTGGATGCATGCTTTAAAGACCGCTGCATATTTGTTAAACAAGATTCCTAGTAAGGTGGTTCCAAAGACTCCCTTTGAACTGTTGACGGGAATGAAAACTAGTTTAAGGCACCTGCATGTTTGGGGTTGCCCAGCGGAAATAAGGATTTATACTCCACATGAAAAGAAACTGGACTTAAGAAAAACCAGTGGTTTCTTCATTGGTTATCCAGAAAAATTGAAAGCGTATAGATTTTATTGTCCTAACCACAGTACGAGAATTATTGAAGCTGAAAATGCTAAGTTCATCGAAAATGGTGAAGTTAGTGGGAGTTTGGAATCACGTAAAGTGAAAATCTAAGAAATTAAGGTTCAAGTTTCTTTACCTAAAATTTCTTCTCAAGTTGTTATTCCTATAGTTGTTAAACAGTCTAACAACTTACAGGAACAACAGATAAATGATCAAACACCCCATAATGAAACTAACACTAATGAACCTACATTAGATGAACCAAATGAAGTTGTACCTAGAATGTCTCAAAGACAAAGAAGGCCTGCTACTTCTGATGATTATGTGGTTTATCTACATGAGTTTAAATTTGACTTGAGAGTCAATGAAGATCCAGTTTCATTTTCACAAACCATCGAAAGTGCAAATTCTTCTAAATGGTTAGATGCAATGAATGAGGAGTTGAAATCGATGGATCACAATAAAGTTTGGGATGTTGTTGAATTGCCTGAAGGTTGTAAAAGAGTCTGATGTAACTGGGTCTTTAAGACCAAGCGCGACTCAAATGACAATATTGAACAATATAAAGTCAGACTTGTTGTTAAAGGTTTCACACAGAAAGATGGCATCGACTATAAAAAACCATTTTCTCCAGCTTCTAAGAAAAATTTATTTAGAATTATCATGACACTAGTAGCTCATTATGATTTGGAGTTACACCAAATGAATGTGAAAACTGCCTTTTTGAATGGGAATTTAGATAAAGATGTCTACATGAGTCAACCTGAAATATGGTGTGTAAACTTAAGAAATCAATATACGGACTTAAGCAAGCTTCACGACAATGGTATCTTAAGTTCAATGATACCATCAATTCCCTTGGATTTAAAAAAAACACTGTTGATCGGTGTATATATCTAAAGGTTAGTTGGAGCAAGATCATATTTCTCATTCTGTATGTTGATGATATCTTGTTGGCTACTAATAATCTTAGTTTATTGTATGAAACCAAGAATTTTCTCTTTAAGAACTTTGATATGAAAGATATGGGTGAGGCATCCTATGTGATTAGAATTGAAATATTTCTTGAAAGATCACAATGATTGTTAGGATTGTCTCAGAAAGCATATGTCGATAAAGTTTTTAAGAGATTCAATATGGAAGAGTGCTCTGCAAGTGTTGCTCCAATTCAAAAAGGAGATAAATTCAGTCTCATGCAGTATCCAAAGAATGATTTGGAACGTAAACAAATGAAAGAAATTTCTTATGCATCTATTGTTGGAAGCTTAATGCATGCTCAGACTTGTACCAGGCCAGACATTAGCTTTGTTGTCGGGATATTGGGCAGGTATCAAAGTAATCCAGGAATAGATCATTGGAAAGCTGCAAAGAAAGTTTGAGGTACGTGCAAGGAACAATGGACCACATGCTCGCTTCTAAAAAATCTAATGATCTTGAAGTGATAGGATATTCAGATTAAAATTTTGTTGGTTGTGTTGATACCAGAAAATCAACATCTGACTATCTATTCTTATTGGCTGAAGGAGCAATCTCATGGAAAAGTGTGAAGCAGTCCATCATCCATCATTGTTGCATCCACTATGAAAGCTGAATTTGTGGCATGCTTTGAAGCTACAATTCAGGGATTATGACTGCGATTTCAGGACTTGAAATTGTCGAAAGTATTATCAAGCCGCTGAAAATTTACTGTGATAACTCCACAGCAGTCTTCTTTTATAAAAACGACAGGTATTCCAAAGGTGTTAAACATATGGAATTAAAGTACTTTACCATTAAAGAAGAAGTTCAGAAACATAGGGTGTCAATTAAACATATTAGCATCAATCTTATGACTGTAGATCTATTAACGAAAGGGTTGCCACCACAGACATTAACCGAACATGTTGTGAGAATTGGCATTCCCGAAACCCTTTATTAGTTTTATGTTTAGTGCTCTTTATGTTTGACGCTTTGAGCTCAGTTTATTGTTTCTGATATTTATGTATCTTATTTTTATCGCTAGTGTTCACTTTATGTTGTGTGATGTTTAACAAGATTTGTTTTTTAATAGACATTATGGGATCATGAAGTTATTTCTCATTATGTTAAGTATGTAATTGATATTATGATACATGGAAGAAACTGTGTCGATAAATTGATACACAACCACCATAATTCATATTAATTTCATACTTATTGATGATTTATGATTTTACTAATATAAAGAAGGATTTTAACTTACATGTTGTGCAGTATGTTATGCACTATTTAGTATTACGTGGGCCAAATGGTAAAATGTTAGTTTTTCATTTATGTTGTCCACTGTCATCTATTTTAATAGTAATTCATTAATTGAAAAGAAGAGGGTCATGTCTCTTCTCAATAGACACCACATCCTTTCGCTTTAATTAATTAACTAAATTATCCTAAATGAAGAGTCGTGTCTCTTCCCATGATATTTATATATCTAACAGTAATATATTATTCTTAATAGTTTATTATATAATATAACTTATTAATTTATAGGATATAACTTTTTAAAATATGATAGATTTTGTATTTAAAATAATTTTTTTTAATTATAATTTATAATATTTAATTTTAGTGTTAGGCTCATCTAGGGTTTAGGACTTCGAGCAGAAGAAAGTCGGCAAGGGCTTCTCAAATCGTGTAGACCGTTGGAGATATATATATATATTATTTTTAATCAACTTATCAGTAGATTATTCAAAAAACTACAGCTGCCCCAAACAAAATCTAAATATAATAAAATGAGTACATTGCTGCTCTCACACGCCCTCAAAAATAGATGATTGATGATATACCACTCAAAAAAATCCATTAATATATTAGCCTACAAATATAGATGAGCGAAAAATTTCGACTCTCACACTAATCTCTTTCTTTAAAAAAATATCTCGACACTTTTCATGTTCGAAATATAAACGGGCCGAACAAGAATATTAATATATTTTAATGCGCCGAACACGAGTTGTGTCTGGGCTCGCTTGTGTTCGACTTATTTACACCCCTACTGGTAATCCATAATACTTATAATAGCTTTTTAAACATCTAATCTACCCGTAATAATTTCACAAAAAAAAAATGTATAGAATGCCATTAAACATAAGAAAAATAAATTGCAAAAATACCAACTTTTACCATAATTAGTTGGACCATAACATTAAAGCCTAGTTCATGGCCTACGAGTTACAAACAAAGTGTCATCAGAACATACCACCCGACTACTACACATTTATATACATACCACCTAAACACCACTTTATGTGCGACTCTTAGGTGGCAAGTTAGTAGGCAACTGCGTTGTCAGTCCTAAGTCCCCTCTGACCCGGGTTCGATGTCTACAGAGACGGATAGCACACATATGTAAAGTGATATTCTCAAATACCACCCCTTAAAAAAAACAATTAGTCAATTTTATCCCTGGGAATGCGGCGGGTTGGAAGACGACGAAGAAGATTCTCATCAACAATTTTGTAATGTTTCCGGAAGCTTTGGTGAACTAAAGCAGCACATCTGTCCACATGCTCCTGATACTTATTGTAGATGGCAGGAACAATCATCAACAATATAGTACCTGTATCAATGTTTATTCATTGTTCATCAAATTTCAAAGGGTTTGATCAATGGTATATATGCAAATATACATGTTATATAGTTCAAAAAATTGCTCTAGATTCTAGTTTTCTAAACAACGAACAGTTCAAATTATAAAAAAGAACAAGACACAATTCTTATGTATTTGCATAGGGGTGTAAACGAACCGAACACGAACGAACAGAGCTTGTGTCCGTGTTCGTGTTCGGTTCATTTGAAATTTAATTTGTTTGAAATAAACTCATGTTCGAAATTGCTCGTGAAGTCACTGTTCGTGTTTGTTTCTTAAAGAACGAGCCGAACACGAGTTGTTCGTGAACGACGAGCCAGTTTGAGATCCCTAATATTAATATATATAAATAATATATTATATTAATTATATAAATTTAATTTTTTAAAATATCATAAATTATATATATATATAATTATTTTAAATTATTTTATAATTCGAACACGAACGAACGCATCACTGTTCATGTTTGGTTCGTTTAACTAACTGAACGAAAAAATTTTGTTCATGTTCGTCTCGTTTACTTATCGAACGAATCGAGCACGAACTCATTGACGGACCGAACACGAATTGTTCGCGAACAAAGAGGCTTTTTGACAGCCCTATGTTTACATATTTAACACCAAAAGTTTATACATACATAACATTCAAACAATTAAAATCATATACATGCCAAACAATTCCTATGTATTAGCATATCTATCACCTAAATTTTACTTTTTTACATTCATACCACCCAACATATCATGTCAAAAATAACACTTAAAATTGAAATGCACTTTTTAGTGTAAAAACAAGGTGGCTAATTGCTGTTAGATGTGAAAATAAATGAGAATTAAGGGGTGTGTATGTAAATCTTCCAATTGTATTTGACGGCTTAAATAAAATATTCCTTCAAATAGAATTCACCATGTGAACTCAGAATATATAAAAACATCATCTTGTGCCATGGCCGTGCATGAATAATTTTGTGCCCGTTCATATAAAAATTGTTGTACAATGAATAATTTTGTGCCCGTTCATATAAAAATTGTTTAATTCAATAATTGAAAAAAAAACTTGACACAAGTATGATGAAAATATGAAAAATTGTTAGAGATATATCGATTAAAACTAGTAGATTATTGGTCAAAAAACACGAAAACCCAACCATACTCGAGAAAAGAGTTGGAAATTCCATGAGAAACAGCATACAAACCTTCAGCTATATCCTCCTCTGTCAAGAGTCTCCCTACCACGACATTTGAAGCTACTATGGTACAATCGGCTTCCAATCGGAACACTCTAGAATCACCCGACTCTCTTAAGAGTCATGGAGCAATTAATCAAGTTGTTTGGATTTAATCAATTACTTCCGACCCGTCAACCTCTCACGTACGTCAAGGTATCATCCCTATGGCACTCACTTCTTTTTTTAATCCATGGATGATTGACTCAAGTGTCACGGACCACATGAATTAATGTTTTCAAGCTTTCTCAATATATTATCCATGCTCTGGGAAAGATGTAGTTAAATTTGTTGATGGCTCATGTAACTCTATTGCTGGAAAAGTGTTGGTTATGTTAACAACCAATTAACTCTAGAATTTGTGTTACATGTCCCTCTGTTACTAATTTTTCTCCTGATGTTTGTGAATTTCTGGATCATAGTTCGGAGAGGATGATTGGAACTACTACAAGAGTAGTTTGGCTCTACTTCTTTCAAGAGAAAGGAACGGACAACAATGACACTTCTCCCAGTAGTTGCAGTCTTTCTCAATCCACTGAATGTCATATTATGTTGTTGCATTATTGTTTGGTTCATCCCAATTTTAAGCATTTAAAACAAGTGCATCCGTCTATATTTACTGATACAAATATTGTTAACTTCAAATGTGAGATTTGCTAATTCGCTAAACATCATCGTTGTTGGCATCAATTTTTGATGTCACGCTATTGGGTGTCCACTTGAATGACTCGGGACTTCTCATTGTTTGTTTTGCACTGTTCAGTAGTTCTAGACATTCTGGTATGTGTTGATGGACACACGGTCGAATTCGTTCTCCCGAACTCTAGCTGCTTCTTGAGTAAAGGCAGGTTTGCATTTTGTCTATTGAACGGCTTCGTTCGGACCAACAGATCTCGTTCTCCATGTTGCGCGCAAATTGAGATATTTTACCTTCATCATCGATGAGTTTGTCCAAATGACCTCGGATGAAGAAACTGATTGTGCGAGCGCGTCCGAAATGTCAATTTTACCTAGAAATGACACTCATATTGTTTGGGTTCCTTGTGCGATTCAATAGCATTCAAATCGAGATGTGTGTTTGCATTTCACATGTTTCGGTGTTTGCATCTCATATGTTTGTGGTTTGCATTCGAGTCACTGACTCCTCGACATACTCACATTTTCGAGTCACTACTTCCTGACACATTCACTCTTCTGAGTCACTGTCTCTTCGGCACACAACCTTTCAAGTCACTGCTCCTCAACACACTCACCTCTCTGAGTCACTTTCTCCGCGGCACACTCATTCCTAAGTCATTGCTTCGGCACACTCATTCTTTTGATCGTTCCTACCCCGATAAGACGCTCATAATGCACCAAATCTTCCACATTTGTATGTGTGTTCTCCCAATTGTCTCTGTGATAAAGCTGGCTCATTAGCTGTGTGACCTTTCATCGGTCAAAGTATGTTAGCGAGTATAGCCCGTCTTGGTGGGGCAATACCAACTATCATACCATGATCGACAAACGTATGTCATGGTAAGATTTTAATGAGTCTAATAACTGACACTTAGGCTTTTCTTCCCTTAGAAATTATTTCAAAAATATAAAAATCATTATATTTTTATTATATATGCATCATGATGTTCAAAATCTATTTTGAATTAGTTGCATCCTTAGCGTAGACCATATATAAGATCGAACCTTTTAAAGCTCTCAAAACCTACATTTAGTGGCATCGCTTAGAATCCTTGGGATCCTTAGGACGGGGTCGGAATATGGCGACCCCGTTAAGGCATCGGTAGAACTTTTGCTAGTCATGCATACTAGATGTTGTCATTAGAACACATGCGCTAGATTGTGTGTTATGTTGGGATTAGGACGCTAGTTAATATTTCGAACACCCTAGTTATTGTTCTTTGTTTATTGGTTGCCCTAGTCAGGCGTCATTTTGATTGTGTTTTTGCTATGTTTGCATGTTTACCGAGTTTGAGATATGTGCAATAGAATATCAGGTCGATTTTCTTGTAGGGAGTTATGTCTAAAACATACGCACATATAACAGGAAGGAGCAAGTAATAATTTTAATGCTAACTTCTCTCTGCAGGCGCTATTAAGCTCCTCTCATCAAGCATGGCTCATATGTGTTGCATGATTTAACATGTGTTAACCCTCTCTGCAGCTTGAGTCATTTTCTTTATCATATATTTGATAGAGTCCTTAAGAATAAGTTTGCATCGAAAATAAGATACGAGCACAGGTTTCAAGGCGTACGATAAGTTGAACCACGTGACGAGGGACCAAGAAATAACCAAGAGAAAAAACTGATATTTTATTAAAGTAGTTTGCTCCATTATGTTTCAATATAATGTCTCAAAAAGGTTCTGGAATGATGTGCTTACTACCACCTATATCATCAATCAAATTCTCAAAACACGCATAACTTTGGAACTTCATTAGTCATATTGATGTCATGTTTCCTTACCAATCAGCTCTTCAACACTCTTGAACCCAAATTTTTTGGGTGCACAACCTTTGTTTGGAACACTACCCCTAATCAAAGTAAGTTTGATCACATGTCTATAAAATGTGTCTTCCTTGGAGATTTTTGCTACTCAAAAAGGTCATCGATGTCTTGATCCTAACACAAATAAACTCTATGTAAGTGTCGATGTCTCTTTTTTTGAAATTGTTCCCTAATTCTCTGTCACTGCCTCAATTGAGGAGGAGCTTGATTTTTAAGATACTATTCCACATCTAACCCTTATGGATATTTCACCAACCTCGATATCCGAGGAGCCCTCTGCCCCTCTGGATCCGCCACCTACCAAACAGCCAGAACCTCCTCCCATTCTGTGTCTACACTCGGCGCACTCATGTTCCCACTCTGGAGCCCGCTACCTATTTACAAGACCTGGAATCCACTCCAAGTGACATCTACATAACTGACACCACTGGGAATGAAGAGGTAAGTTCTCTGATGAGGTATGTAATCAGGCAAGCTCTCTTTATTCCATAGAAAAATATCTCTTTCCACAGTATGTCACTGATCTATGAAGTATTTGTCACCGCCCTAACGAATCATCACCTCCCATCTATTATTGAAGCATCATTAGCTGACCCTTTCTGGAAACATGCAGTAATTGATGAAATGAATGCCCTTCAATAGAATCATATATGGGATGTTGTAGATCTTCTCCAGGTAAGATATTGGTAGGGTGGGGTGTCATTTGATTTTTAGCAACAAGGTAAACTTGGATGGATCCTTTGAATGCAATAAGAAACACTTAATTGCCAAAGGATAATCACAAACATACAAAGTGGATTATGATGAGACATTTGCTATGATTGCTAAATTAAACACCATTTAGATCTTACTTTCCCTTGTTGTGAATTTGGATTGAACATGGCTCCAACTGGATGTCAAAAATAATTTTCTAAATGGGGATCACACAGAGGAGGTCTACATGCGTCTCCCTCCAACTTTTGACTCTACTATCTTCCGGGAAGTGTGCCGACTGCAAAAGTTCCTTTAGGGACTGAACTAATTCTCAAGGGCCTAATTTGGCAAGCTCACAAAAGTGCTAATGGGTCATGATTTTTCTCAAGCCCGATCAGACCATACTCCTTCTTTCGACATTCCTCCATTGACAAAATTGCAATACTTATCGTCTATGTCGACAATTTGTGCTCACAGGTGATGATGTACCGGCATTGGAGTCTTTGAAAGGTATTAATGATATTTTATTTGAAATGGACTCAAGATCACTCCGGTACTTCTTAGGCATGGAAGTTGTTCAGTCATCGCGAAGCAATTGTATGTCTCAACACAAATGTGTTTGAATAGAGAATAATCTACTCCTATGCAAACCGGTGGTCATTCCAATGAGAAATTAATTGATGCTCCCAATGCGGTTCCAGTGAATAAGACTCACTACCAATGCCTTGTTGGGAAACTCAATTACCTCACCCATACTCGCCCCGATATTTGTCATGCAGTAGGTATTATGAGTCAATTCATGCATGATCTATATGAGCATCATCTCAAAGATGTACACAGAATCCTCTACTACTTATAAGGCACACCAAGCTCATATATGTTTTTTTTTTTTTTTTTTTTTTTTTTTTTTTTTTTTTTTTTTTTTACCTCTCGTTCTATTGTTGTTTATACAAATGCAGATTGGGTCGAGTATGTCTATGATTAGCAATCAACCTCAGGATATTGCTCATTCGTGTGGGTAAATCTTGTCACGTGGAAAAGCAAAAAATAGTCTATTGTGGCCCAGAACAGTGTTGAAGCCGACTTTCGCTCCATGTCCCTGGGTATCTATGAAGCTCTCTGATTATGCATCATGCTCCATGAATTACGTCTGTCAATCTCTGCTCCTCTCCAGCTATTTTGTGATAATAAAACCGTCACCAGTATCGCCCATAATTCGATTCATCATGATCACACCAAGTATGTAAAGATTGACCGACACTTCATTAAGGAAAAGCATGATTCAGGAGAGATTTATATTCCATTTGTTCCATCTAATAGTCAATTAGCAAATATTCTCACTAAAAATATTTCTCGATCGTTGATTGACGACCTCAAATCTAAGTTGAAAATGATAGACATTAGAATTATCAGCCTAATTATAAGGGGGGGTATTAGAATTATCAGCCTAATTAATGTTGGAGCTATTATTAGGCTTTATTTGTTTTCTTTATTTTCCCCTATTTCCATATTTATGTATTTATGAATTTAAGTATTTCATTTTATATGGATCTGGTAATATGTATTTATACACACCTCTTTTATCAATGAAACATAGATTGTTTTATTCTCAAAAGTTTACATTATGCATGCAAATATGAAAGTTTAGGCGTTAGATATGTAAATATATAAAAATCGTGTCATATACAGTATACTAATATGTATTTGAATGCCCCCTTACATTTATAACACTTTGGTGTCATAAATTTATGTATGAAAAGGTATAGCTTTGCTTTTAAAATATTAGTAATTGTTGTATTTTTTTAGTGTTGATAAATTTTGAGTGTCATGTACGTAAATGTGAAATTTTACTTGTTTGATATGTAAATATATAAGAATTGTGCGGATGTATGTAAATGTCCCCATTAATTAAACAACTAAGATTAGAAGGAAGCATACCAATATATGCAAGCGTGATGAATGAGAAGAAGCTTCCCATAACCGATAACAACCAGAGAAAGACCACAACCTGCACGAAGTTTATGAGCGCAAAAACAAAAATTTAGTTTGAAAATCACGCGCAGAAAGTGCACATCTTTAGCCCCCGCAGTTCAAAAAGTCGATTGTTGCTTGCCTGAAAAAATGATCTGAAGTCCTTCCCATGAGCAATATCATGTGCCACCAGCAACATATTGTTGACTCTAACACGAAATGAAGCTGCAGCGTTATTGACCATTTCTTCAGACAAAACAAGTTCAGGCAAAGGTTTTAAAGATCTGCCCGCAGAAATTAGAAGAGAGAATAATTATTAATAATAGACATCCCCATAAAACTATTAAGAAAATTTTAATGGACTATAGTATTAAAATAGACTCGTGGTTATTTACATTAGGCAATTTTAATCCTGGAGTTTATAAAAGTATCAAATTAGACTTCAAACTCTTAGCATTTGGGTTGAAATAGTCCACCACATTAAAAGAATCTGGGTCTAAATCAACATCTTTATAGATTCTAGGATTAAAATGGCCCCTTGCAAAAAGCCAAAGGACTCTTTGGCTTTTTTTCTCAAATTTAATGACAGTGTAGCACTTACGTGTTAAGAATGCCAGCACTGTTGGCCCAAATAAACCTAAGAATGATGGTTATTTACATTAGGCAATTTTAATCCCGGAGTTCATAAAAGTGTCAAATTAGTCTTCAAACTCTTTAAATTAGAGTTGAAATAGTTTACCATATTAAAAGAGTCCGGGTCTAAATTGATATTTTATAGATTCTAGGATTAAAATGACCGCTTGCAAAAAGCCAGAGGACTATTTTGGCTTTGTTTCTCAAATTTAATGACATTATGGCACTTACGTGTTAAGCATGCCAGCACTGTTGGCCCAAATAAACCTAAGAATGATCAAAATCAGCAAAACGTCCGAGGAGATTGTTAGGAATGACAATCCTGATCTCTCAAACACAAGCCATGCAACAGTAGCAACAACAATAACCACAATTGAAAGTCCCCAACGTTTCCACAGCATGATATCAGCAGCTAAAAAGAGCAAGATATCAGATTCAATATTATTCATTAAAAGGACATTTACATACGTAGCGGACAATTCTCATGTATTTTACGCATCTCATAACTAATCTTTCATATTTACAGATATAGCACTTTGGCGCTTTAAACCTATGCATACAAAAATGTATTTCACTTTTAAAAAGTGGTAAGAGTGTTATTTGTTAAGTGATATTAAAGGTTTGTGTGTAAATATAAAAGTTTAGGCGATAGATATGTAAATACATTAGAATTTTGTACTATGTATGAAAATGCCCCTTCATTAAAATGATTCCACTAGAAAATAACAACGGTAAGGGCCTGTGTGGTATCCTTTTTTAGGAAAGATTTAAGTGAGATTTAGCTTAACACTTGTCAAATAGAATTTAGGAGACTTTAAAGCCTACTGTTTTAGCAAGTCTTGTTTCAATCTCCTTGTTGGCTAAATTTGGGATTTGTTAAATGACATAAATACAACCTTTACTAGGGTTCGCTTGATTTAAGAATTTCTCTCGCAAATCTTAAAGCTTAAAATAATTACTCAACCTTTAGTGATGGTGTGACTCCAAGCTTTTGTCTCGTACAACAAAGCTTATGAAGACGACCTTCTGCACCAGTAAACTGCGTGATAACATTCAAGATGACCTTCTGCACCAGTAAACTGCGTGATAACATTCACTATGGAGGAATAGATTAAATCATCAAGAAGGAATTGTTTAAAGATTCTTTGGGATATTATGATAACTTGATTCTATGTATTGGAGCTAACATTTCGCTATGGAGGAATAGATTAGATCATCAAGAAGGAATTGTTTAAAGATTCTTTGGAATATTATGATAACTTGATTCTATGTATTGGAGCTAACATTTCGCTATGGAGGAATAGATTAGATCATCACGAAGGAATTGTTTAAAGATTCTTTGGAATATTATGATAACTTGATTCTATGTGTGTTGGAGCTACTAGAAAGAGATATAATTATTCTAATGATTACTCTAAAATGACCTTTCCTCGATTCACTAGCCAAGTAATTTGTTTTAGCCATCATAACGTTCATTGTATCCAAGACCTAGCTCCGACTGTAGATTGAACCTAAGGGTCGAGTTCCTAGGCTTTCTTTGATTTAGCTTAAATCCAGTCTAATAGAATTTAGTAGACTTTAAATCCTACTATTTTAGCAAGTCTTGTTTCAATCTCTTTATTGGTTAAATTTGGGAAGTAGGGTTTGACGGATTTAAGAATTTCTTTAGCAAATCTTAAAACCTAAAATAATTATTCAACCTTTATTGATGTCGTGGCTCCAGGCTTTATCTTAAGTGAAATAAAGCTTAGGAATTTTTCAATGACTTTTAGCACTAGCAACCCGCGTCATCACCTTTCGCTGTAGAATAGACAAGAAGAACAACTAGAAGGAATTGTTCAAAGGTGCTTTGGAATATTACGATAAGTTGATTCTCTATGTGTTGAAGTTGTTATAATGAAAAGTAATCATTCTAACGATTACTCTAAAATGCCCTTTTCTCGATTCACCGGACAAGTAATTTGTTTTAGCTATCTCAACCTTCACCGTATCTTTGAAGATGTTAGATTCAAAGTTACTCATGAAAATTGCCAAGACCAAGATCCAAATTTCAATTGTAGATTGAACCTAAGGGTCAAGTACTTCGATTTTCATTGATGGCTCAAGGTTTATAAGACTATTAAGCCCTTGTAGAGAGAAGTGCTAAGTCAAAATAAGTTAATAGACAAAATAGAAAGAGAATACAATGGATTTTCATGGGAAAACATTCTAACTAAATGTGCAATATTACCTCATATCTATGCCTAAAGTTTGACATTTATTATAAGTGAGGGGCAGGATCCATGATATTGGAAGGGCAATAAGAGAAAATAATAAGAGAAGTGTATAAATTTGACTTGAAGAAATAGTTGTGTAGCAAATGAGCCCGACAGACATTTGATGACCAAAAATTATTAGAATATTTCATGTTGAGAATGAGCACTATCAATATTGTTTTACATCAAAAATTCCTAGTTGGCCTAGGAGATACTTTTGAATAACTAAAAAATTATGAAGTCACATAATCTTGATTGGTAGACAAACTTATGACTCTGAAACTCATTTTCTCTATAATCTAAAATGTGGTCATATTATTTTAAATTTAACATATATCCATGTCTTCACTCACATCTTTAATAATACAACTATGATCGTTTGTAGATTTCACACCCAATATTGGAGAAATTATTAGGTACGAACAACTTATCATGAAAGCTAAGTGTTGAGCATTAGAGTAACACGATTGGGTGCTCCTTGTGTACCCCAATTATCATTAGTACAAAATGAGCAAATAATGTCCACTTGATGTTGATACAAATGGAGACAATTTTTTCATGAAAATTAGGGTAAAATATATATTTTTATTCATTCACACATAATAACACAACTCAAATACATAAAGATAAATACTTACAATTCGAAAGGTAGACAATCTCTCCCAGCACCTATAATTCGAGATAGATGACCTATCTATACCATAATCTCGTGCATACCCTAACCCTAAACATAATAAGTTTTATTTATACCTCACAATAATAAAAATAAAAGATTGATTGCCCTAAGACTAATAAAATAATAAATTGCCTTTAAACACTGGCATAACAATACTCCCCTACCAAAAATACACATAGTCCTCGAGGTGGATAAAAAAAATTGTTGTTGGATCAAGTTGATATGCTCCCATTTGACATCCTCATCTGACAATCATTTCCATTTAATTATAAAGTCGTAGTGGCCCTCACGAGTTCGAAATGCATTCTTATGCACATGCTTCAGCCACATCCGAGCCAGTTGATGCCCCAACTAAGTCAATCTTGGAGAATATCAAAAGCCCAACAACTCCTCAAGTAGCTCATCAATCGTCGTAATCTCTGCCAACTTCGTTTCACCTGACTCTTTCATGTTATGCAACTCGATCCAAAATCTCAAGCATGCGTCTTAAATTGCCCTAACCATGGTCTTAAGTTTTACCGAAGTCTTGCATAAATTAGGGTCACCATGAAGCACCCCATCTATCTCCCTCCCAAATACTCTGTGATGTCAAAATCAGTCCCTTATACTCTTCCTTGTTGTTCTCCACCTATCACGTACCATCATTACTCCTAAATCAAATTATGAGTGAAATGTTGCAACAACAAGAGGCACCGTCACAATAGAATGCAGCCTCTTGCCGGAGTGCCACCCTCCACGGTTCTCTGTTCCAGGCCAAAATCCTTTGAATTGATCTTCTTCCGCCTCGACTTGCATGTCATCCTATTTCAAATGTTGTCGCTTGACAGCGACTTTATATATGCTTAAAAATACAAGAATTTAATATTGTTGTTAGAAGATTTAATTCCTCGGCAACGGCACCAAAAATTTGATAACGGTTATAGATTCGATAAAGATGTATATATAAAATATTCAATAATGATAAAGTCACACTTATCAACGCAAGTATACGTATCGCTCAAGTAATACAGGGCTCTAATGGAGTCCTAGATATCGATCCCACGGAGAGTAATATTAGAGACTACGAACTAAAATTTTATAAAATCAATACTTAATCACAACAATATAGTTCAAATTGTTTATCTGTCACTAATAGACAATTGAAATAAATATGTAATTTTAATAACTCTTAAATAACTAATTCTACTAATAAATTTTCTAATGTGAAATTCAATATATAAGAAAGCATCATTCTCCTTATCAAGAAATTATAGTGAATGGATAAAGTGAATCAGTTCAAATTGGATTGTGCCAAATAGAAGCATACCTATTTTTTACTCTTTGGTCCATGCATAAATAACATTGACTAATTTTATGCTTGGTTACTAAATCTGCGGCTAGGCTGGGAGGATATCGGCTCTCACTTCGGAGCTCCCACGTTCTTCTCGTCTGAGGGCTAACATCTACACTTCAGCATCTAAATGATGGGACCGAATTGAGGATTTTAGTCTGTCACTCTAAAATCTTTAATTCTACGCCCGATAATTTTATTTTCCTATTTATTTGCACCCAACTTTCAAGGGCTTTGACATCTCTGAATCTTGAGTGTAATCTTCACTTTAGTTGTAAAACTCAACATATTTTAACAAATCAATTGGCCAGATTGAAAGTAAATTAATATCGAAGTGAAAAAATCATCACAACTTCTTTAATATTTTCAAGGTTCAACCAAATCAAATCACCATTTCACAAATCTCAATACAAGAAGAAAGACAGAGAAAACTACTCAGAACTCATGGGGAATATACGACAAAACTCGGAATTTATATAGAAAAGCAAAGTCATACAAACTATAACAAGTAAATAACACTTATCTCTAATTCCTTCCCAAGCAAACTCCTCGAAGTTCCTCTGAATCTCTTTCTTTCTTTCAGCATACAGAATTCTTCTTCGAAATAGCAAGGAGGAAGAAATCTCACTTTCTCTTCACTCTTATAATCTCTCGAAGAATTCCTCACAATTTAACCCTAAATTAAACTCTCTACACACCCTTTTTTTATTTTTGGCGAAAGTCTTTTCTTTAAAGATGTGGATGAGTTTTCCCAAGAGTTGCCTAAGCATCCCTTCAAAATTTGTCCTCATCCAAAGCCTAGTTGGACATAACCGCTGCCCTCGCCGTCGGCGGCCTCGAGGGCGTCATCGGCGGACCTTCTAAATTATTTGATCTGGAGTCTCGGGAAATTCTCATTGTCGGCGCCCTAGTTCAAATCTTCATATTTTTGTCATTTTCGCTCCAAATTTACTTTTTTTTGAATTTTTTTGCTCCAATGACCATAATTCATCATACCTGCAACAAAACATCAAAAATACCCTTCT